GGGAGGGTAACAAGGGAAAGTGTTCAGTGCAGATCAGTGAGTAAGCACAAGCCCGCCCGTGCTTACCTCACTCCCGGTGACTAAGCACAAGCCTCCCCGTGCTTACCTCGCTCCTGGGGACTAAGCACAAGCCCGCCTTGTTTCAGACACCTAATCGTTCAGCCTGTCCACCCATATATCCACCCTTATATCCATGGTTGCCTTCACTGTCAACACAGTACTATATGTGCAAAAGGGTTCATCTTTATTGTCTGTACCTCCCGATGTCTTTCTCATCCTCAATGCTGCCATATTGTTCACTCACATTTGGTACATTGCCCTTCTCTTCACCCAAATCAATACTTATCTCTAGCTATCTAACAGTGTGCCCTCTCCTCCCCTCCTATCCCTGGTAATCAACAAAGAAAATTTCCTTCCATATGTAAACCTTGCCTTGACTTTTTATAATAACAGACTAATACAATATTTGTCCTTCTGTAATTGACTTATTTCACTCAGCATAATGTCCTCCAAGTTCATCCACATTATGCAGTATTTTGCAGATTCTGTGTTATCCTTTAGGGTTGCATAATATTCCATTGTATGTATGTCCCATAGTTTGGTTTTCCATTCCTCAGTTGATAGACACCTAGGTTGTTTCCATCTTTTGGCTATTGTAAATAGTGCTGCGATGAATATGGGTGTGTTTATATCTGTTCTTGTCCTGGCTCTCACTTCTTTAGGATATATACTTAGTAATGGAATGGCTAGGTCAAATGGTATTTCTAATTTCAACTTTTTAAGGAATCATTATACTGCTTTCCACAGTGGTTGTGTCATTTTACAGTCCCACCAGCAGTGTTTGAGAGTTCCAATCTCTCCTCATCCTTGCCAGCATTTGTTATTTTCTGTTTGTTGAACTTTGCTACTAGTGCTGGGGCAAGATAGTATCTCGTTGTTTTCATTTGCATCTCTCTAATAGCTAATGATTGTGAGCATTTCTTCACGCCTGAATATCCTCTTTGGTGAAGTGTCTGTTCATGTCTTCTGCCCAGTTTTTAATTGGATTATTTGCAATTTGACAACTTTTAAGTTTGTTTTGTTTGTCCTTCCTGGGTGTCTTTTTCTTTTTTTTTTTTTTGCAAATACATGCATATATACAAGCATACACACATACACGTTTACACACACACTTTGGTTTAAAGTAATTGTTGATCATTTGGTGCACATACATACTCTTATTCTTTACTTTTCCTTCTTTACTTGATCAGAAAATAGACTGTTAAATTTTGGAGCTTTTTCCATATTCGTACATGGTTATCCTCATTTTTTTATAGCTGCCTACTCTTCCATTAGTCCCCATTGCTGGATTTGATTAGTTACTAATCTATTGTTATTACATATATTGCCACAGTGAATAACCTTGTATATTTTTGTTCTGTAGATAGATTTCTAGAAGCAGGATTACTTGGACAGAATTTATGTGCTTCTCTAATTTTAGTAGTTGCTGAATTCCTCTCCCTCATGATTGTACACTTTTTACCCTTACTAACAATGTTAAGAGAATGTCTTTCTCCTAAAGTATGTTGTCTGATTTTTGGATTTTTGCTAGTCTGGTGGCTGAAAAGTAGTGTCTCATATAGTCTTAATTTATATATTTCTTATTAGTGAGGATGAACAGCCTTTTATATATTTAGGGTCATGTATATTTATTTTTCTGTAAATTATATCTGTTACAACTTTTTCCCAGTGGATTATATTGGTCTTATTTTTTTCCTCTTCATAATTCTGTTCCTACGAAGTGCTATATATTTAAAGAGATTAGCTCTTTGTGATATAAGTTCAAATATTTTCTTTCCTGTTTGTCACTTGTCTTTGTGGTGTGTGTGCCATATAGAATTTTATTGTTTATGTAGTTTATCAGTTTTTTTCTCACATGACTTCTGGACGTTAATTAAAATGGCCTTCCTCACTTTAAGGCAATAAAGGAATTCACCCATGTTTCCTTCTAGAAGTGTTACAGTGGTTTTATTTTATCATTTTGTGTAGTTAATCATGTTGTGTAGTTATTTAAGCCTCTTGATACCTCTTGTCAAATTACTTTTTGGAAGAGTTTTCTACTTTTTTTGATTATGAATAAAAGCTCTTGTTTATCACCCCTTCCAGTATTTGTATTATAATTTTACACAGACAAATAATATTCCCAAGTCTTCTTTGTGCTTGAATTTTTCTTTTCTTTTTTTTCCTGAAAAAAAAAACCACCTGAACAACCACCACGGTGGGAAAAATCATGGGTGGAAGACTTAGAATAGGAGTCTCAGAAGAGGCATACCAAGCCTTTTCGGGAGTCTGATGGCAAGAGATTAGATTATTGCCAGGACTGTGGAAGGTGACACACACTCAAAACAGTGCAGTTGGCTACTGTCTTTGAGCAGGGCACCATTGTTTCTGACTCCGCTGGTCCACAGATTGTTTCCTAAGAGGGAGATTAAGTTTCTAGCGGGGCATCAACCTGTAATTTTTCCTATTCTAGTCATTGTTCCAGTTCACCCACATCCTACAAATTCTTTTGTTTTCTCTTTGTTATGATTTGGATAAATGTTTACATAGCAAATTGGTTTTTCATTCAGTAGTTAGTACACATTTTGATTCATGACATTGATTGCAATCCCCATAATGTAACAGCACTCTTCTCACTTCTTCCTTCTTTCTGAGCTTTATCCCTGGGCAGGTGTTACCCTTTTGATCTCATATTGTTGTTCTAAGGAATATGTACCTCCCTATAAGCCTGTGTATTGTTTGGGTTGAATGTTGAGCTACAGGGGTGAGTTTGGTTCCAAGCCTGAAGGATGTCTAAAGGTCTTTTTATTATGACTTTGAGTTTTGTTTAACATTTTTCTCCCACTCTACCTCAGATCTTCTATTCCAGTATGATCCCTTTCAGAGCAGTGGTAGTTAGGCATCATCTAATTCTTTTGGTCTCAAGATTATAGAGGCTGAGGTTCACGTGGTCCATTAGTCCTTTGGACTAATGGTTTCCAGGCATATTTACTTTTCTTCACTCTTCTTTGCTCTGGATGGGTCAAGACCAGTAGTTGCACTTTAGATGGCCACTCACAAGCTTTTTATTATTATTATTATTATTTATTGTGATTTGGGTGAAGATTTACAGAGCAAATTCCCACTTCCTCCCCATAGTTACCTCTTCCCAGTGTCCATCCCTCCATACTCTCCTGCCCCCTGAGCTGTCTCCCTTTGCATAAGCAGCCCTTCCTTCTCCCATGATTGTTCTCTTCAGGGCCTGTGTCTACTTGAGGTATATGTTTAACTCACATGCCTGTACTTTGTTTGCCTGGAAACCACAGGTGTGTGTTCAATTCCAGACCTGGAGGGCAGCTAGGGGCCATAGTCTCAGTGGTTCCATCAGGCTCTATTGGACCAGCAAACCTGGTCCCCACCATCTTTTTCTTTTCTTCCTCCAGATGATTCTGAGTTTTGTTCCACATTGTTCTCCCTCTCTATCCAGGATCTCCTACATCCCTTCCAAGTGGATGACAGCACTCACAAGCTTTTAAGACCCCACTTGCTACTTACCAAAGTAGGATGTGGTTGGTTTTTTTATCTGTAAAATGGGGGTATCTACCCCTGTTTTTGGTTTGTTTAAATGGTAGAACTGAGAGATACAAAGACCTGATGTGTTATATAAGGAGTTATTTTTATTTTATAATACCTCGCACAATGGGATATTTATAGACACTCAATACATAGTTGATTATAGACAAAGACTTGTATATTGGTTTTATTGCATATTTTAGTCTCCTTAAACCCTTGTTGATTACTGATAATATCTCTTTCTTTCCTCAGTTTGTAGAAGACTATGAACCTACCAAAGCTGACAGTTACAGAAAAAAAGTGGTTCTTGATGGTGAAGAAGTCCAGATAGATATTCTAGACACAGCTGGGCAGGAAGACTATGCAGCCATTCGAGACAACTACTTTCGCAGTGGGGAAGGCTTTCTCTTAGTATTCTCAATCACAGAGCATGAGTCCTTTGCAGCAACTGCTGAATTCAGGTATGTTTTAAATGAAATAGCCGATTCCTCCAACTTAGGGAGCTCTGGTGGCATTGACTGCTAACCAGAAGGCTGGCAGTTCAAACCCACCAGCCATTCTTTGGAAGAAAGATTGGGCAATCTGCTGCCATAGTGATACTGTGTCAGAAACCCAAGAAGGGGAGGGGTTACTGTAAGTTGGATCCGACTTGATGGCAGTGAGTTTGTAGGGGCTTTTCACTTTCTTTCATACATCTTAGAATTTGAGGTTACTACCACTGAGTATAGTAGTAGAGGGCTGAGCTTATTATTAGGAAGAATTCTGTTTAAAGAATTCCTTATGGCTTTCCACATCTTTCTTATTTATGTATGTATGTATGTATGTATGTGAAGATTTACAGAGCAAATTCACTTTCCATATAGCAGTTCACATATACTTTGTCTCATGTCACTGACCACAGTTTACCACAATGCAACAGCTTCCCTCCCACTTCCTCCCCATAGTTACCTCTTCCCAGTGACCATCGCTCCATACTCTCCTGTGCCCTGAGCTGTCTCCCTGTACATAAGCAGCCATTCCTTCTCCCATGATTGTTCTCTCCAGGGCGTGTGTGTACTTGAGATAAATGTTTAACTCACATGCCTGTACATTGTTTGGCTGGAAACCACAGGTGCAGGTTCAATTCCAGACCTGAAGGGCAGCTAGGGGCCATAGTCTCAGTGGTTCCACCAGGCTCTTTTGGACCAGCAAACCTGGTCCTCACC